ACTTCTTCCTTGCTACAGAAAATCTCTGAAATTCATAGACAGCTTTGAAATGGCTTTTTCACTCCGTGCTGCTACTCAACTCCATTGAAAGCAGGTGGGCAGCCATTTGAACTAGTCCACAACAATCTGCTCCTTCTGAAGAGTCCACTGACACATTCTTGCTGTAATGCAGGACGAGAGGTATTCTATCTGAGAAGGACGACTGGCAGAGTGGAAGTCAAATTTTCTGATGAGTTCTCCAATTAGTGTCAAGAGTTAGACGCACTCTGAAGTCTCTTTTGAAGTCATGAGAAAGCTCTGAAATACAAATAGATTCATGAAAAAGTGTAGATGAAGCGACACTGAAGAAGCCATGGCGCGCCATGCATTAGACTTGATTCATGACCTTGGAGTCGTGCAGCTGCATTACTCTTCTTCGCCACAGCTTAACTTCAGGCATTGTTCAAGCCTATGTGCTCCCATGTCACACGAGCTACGCGTCAACCGACTCACCTTGAAGAGATGGAAAATTTGGTGAGCAAAATTAGGTCTCAGAGATGGTAACATGGCGAGCGACACTTTTGATGGCTTTAGTCTGCTCCTTTGATGGGTACAGTTGTGGTCACCAATTTCGTGATTTGAGTCTGCCATGGGTTTGAACAGAAGAGGTGTTCCACCTCTTTTGAAGTAAAATTTCATAATAGGGTAGGGCGGCGGTGGTGCAGTGACAAGTGGCGCGCTTACCACGCGAGCGGTCCGGGATCAAATCCTGGGTCGTGAGTCGCCCGGGCCAACCAAGCCTTCCATCCCTCCGGGGTCGGTTAATTGGTACCAGACTTGTCTGGGAGGATAAAAACACTGACTTGAACATCGGCTGGCCCCCGCAAGTCATTGTATAGGCCACATCGCATTCAAACGCCACTACGAATGTACAAATGGAAGTAGAATGCGTGCCGCATCCCAAAAAGGGATTGATCAACGGCAAATGCTTTATCCTTATCCTTTTATCCTAATATTCTATCAAAATCAAGCAGCCCATAAAAAGAAATCTGTGTGTCACGTAGGCCTCACATGGTGTCAGGTTGATTGTTAAAACCTCACAAAAGTTCTCCATGGTGAGAAAATGTGCAGGCTGTGATAATCAGCAGTTTGCTACACAGTTCTACTTTTTCTCACAAGTTTTCAGGAAACAGTAGTGATTTCTTCGCTTCATGAGGGATGTGTGGGGTGATGGGTTTCTACTGTAACTGAACAAATAATGAAACGTTTCGAATTTGATCCCATGACGGCTCAGCCATAACCAACATTGGCATGAATTTCCTGCTAAGGCCCTAACCAGGAAGGCCTTTCAGGAAATGGAGCGCTTTTTTCCTGCATGTTATAGAGACACGCGCAGGGAGCATAAACTGTGAATACTATGTATTTCCTGAGCGGCTCTGGGAATGCTAAAAAACATGTCGAAACCATGGCTTGTGGTTCGATCCCCACTGAGGACAAATTTTTGCATTTCTCTGATTTCCACTTTCTTGGGCTTATATAAGTATAGACTATTCAGTGAACAAAAGAAACATTCGGCCATTTTTCTGGCCATTCCAGGGCCGCTCAGAAAAATGATCATCAGATTTATGCTCCACGCACGTGCCCCTATAACATGCAACAAACCGTTTTGAAAAAGCGCTTCCATGTCCTGAAAGACTTTCCTGTTGAGTGACCATACTGCACACTCTCCTAAGCCTTACCTGTCAACAGAAATCATTTACTTCACTCCCACTGTCCTATTCCGTTCTTCTGAATGATTCACTCGAAAATACCCCTCCAAGAAGAACGAGGTGACCGCAAACAGAACAGTTTCCTCACCGGCAAGTTTAGGTGTCTATGGCTCTGAAGCCTTATTTATACGGCTTCACTAATAACTACCAATTAATTTTATGTATTCAATAAGTCTGCTTCTTTATTTATTTTATAGCTATTGTTGGCAATTAAGGCACATTAGTATAATAATAAAATTGAGCAAAAATAAACAATAGTAAAGGTAGGAGGTGA